AAACTTTCAAAACGGCAAAATCTACGCCCTTGCTACGAAAACAATTTATATCTACCTCAAATTAAAAATAAATTGTTTGACAAAAGTGCATACGTAACAGCAATAAGTATTTAATCACTTACCCAATACTATTAAAACAATAAAAAGGACCCAAATTCAAACATAATCTAAAAAACTGGTTGGTGGAACATACGTTTTATACGCTAAATGAATTCTATAATTTTAAGAGTTAATATCGTGTTCTTTATTATACTTATATATATAAGCATTTTTTTTTAAATATTTTATCTTAGAAGTTAATTGTAAATCTATCATCTGTTAAATGTAAATTGCAAAATGTAACCTGTTAAATGTAATCTGTTAAATGTAAATAGTATATATATTATGTTTATGAAAATTGTAAATCTATTGCACGCCTGATGAGGCAACTGTTGATACCTTTAATAATATGACATCTTCAATTTGTACACAGTAATGCAATAAATGAATTATTATTATTATTAAAAAAACTAGCCATGGCCTCCTAGTCTAAATAAAGATCAAGGGGCTTCAGGCACAGAAGTGCATTAAGAACAGCTCCAGGCGATGATCCCATCGCTCCAGTTGCTAGGCAGTCCTTTGTAGACTATATAGTTTGTCCGCAGTCGTCTTTCGGTTGTCATTATTACAGCAGACCAGAGACGTAGGTGATATTCGGCCTCACTATGCTGCTGAATAGCCATTGGATCATACTGGGACGCAAGCTCCAGTTGTTCCCAACCATACGACTGCATGTACCTAAAACAATTTTAACCGTATGATATGCGTTGTTAAAGTGAGAGTTCCACGTTAGTTTTTGGTCGATTGTTACGCACAAATAATTAACTTTTTAGAAAATTAAAGGGATCTGGCGTTACTTTGGGGAAATCCAATATATTGAAGTAGTTAGAACTTAATTTGCTCATTTCCGTGTAATAAAATACAAAAATATATCCCGCCTTGTTATAAATATCTTGAGAAATTATATGAGGACGAATAAAATTTTGTCGAATCATATTTTCATTTTATTTTGTCTAATCATAATTGAATAAATTCAAGTTTACTTTAACACAGAGGTTAGTTAATCAAGCGGTATTTATGGAACCGGGGCTACAAGGATACGAAATATCAACAAGATGTAATAATTCACCTATTTAATTTTGATTTAAACTTAATAAACTAATTGTTATAGGTCAGATTTCACGCCTTGTGGCATTCCTTACCTATCAACATTGGATTAACACATTTCAAGCAGTATAACGTTCTTGTGTAAACCTTTTTCATTTAAAGAATAGCGGAATTTTAAAAATACCCTCCAGGTTGAGAACTTGTGTTAATTTACTGATATATCTTTGCTCAATGATGTTGATAAGGTATATTAATGTAAAAATACTTATAAAAACAACGACTGTTTAAAACTGTTAGTAATTTAAAATGTATTTATAATCATCGACTCAATCATCTAGTTTTCGTTATTGATACTTGAATGGATGAATGAATGAATAAATAAATGAATTAAATATACTTTTTGTATACTAGAAATACATAAGAGGAAAAATATTTCTTTAAAGGTAAAATTGGCGGCCTTATCGCTTAGAAGCGATTTCTACCAGGTACCCATTTCTGTGAATAAAGAGACCTGTGAAAAAGGGTAAGGGTGTCGTAGGTTGTTGGAATATACATACGACATAAATATAATTATATAATTGGTAAATACACACAAAATATAATAAATAAATACATTTTAAATATAAACATACATATACGAGAGCAGTAAGGATTAAACAAGTAAGTGTAATCAAAGCCTTAACGTAAGAAAAAATAAGAATGTAGTATTTTTTTAGAGGAATGACTATTTAAGTAGGAAATAAGTTCGATTTGACAAGTTTCAAAACGTTTCAACAGACTCTGCACTTTTAATGTGCAGCGGTAGGGAGTTCTATAGCCTAACACCTTCAATAGAAAAGGATTTACAATAGATGGAAGTGTTATGCAATGTAATTTTAGGGTGAGTTTTTCACAGAGTGGTGAGAACGATAATGAGTGTCACCAAGAAACTTAAACCGCTCTTTAAGGTAAACAGGGGCAGTGGGATGAAATAGAGCACAGTATAAAAGAGAAAAAAATGTGGGTATGTCTGCGAAGACGGATTGGAAGCCACTTGAGTTTTTCGCGATATTCGGAAACATGGTTATATTTTTTGAAATCCAAATATGAAACATATGCGAAGGTTCCCTTATTTAAATTGAGACACACGTGTCGCTATAATCGAGAATCGGTAAAAAGAGTGATTGTGCAATCAAATTTGGTTAGTATAGGTAGGAAATTGCTGAGTCTACGGAGAGATCCGACCGACGCAAACACCCTCCTACTCACTACGCTTCCCTGCGAAGCCCAAGATAAAAATTTGCCAAAAGTAACGCCTAGATATTTAACGGTGTCACTATATGACACAGGTGTCCCATCAACAACAATACCAGGTAGAAGAAGAGAAATCTATAAGAGTAACCAATTTTTGACTGCCTGTTATTATTATAGCATTTGTTTTTTAAAGCTTTTACTATAAGACCGTGTGTGTGGCTTACTCCAATCCACTATTAAGTTAAGATTTTTATTTAATAAGCCTATAGTATTGGGTAAATTCATTACTTTGGCATGTACATATACTTGGAGATCATCTGCATACAGGTGGTAGCGAGTTGATAATTGGAGCGTAATCGAGCTTATGTAAATGGAAAAGAGGAGAGGAGACAACACGCCGATAAACATCAGTTGGAGAAAGAGTCATCAACACGCGTCCATTGCTAGCGACCACACAAGTAACTATGAAACCATTTAATCAGTTCAGGAGATATGTTAAAAGAAGCTAAGATAGCTGACAGTAGATTGAAATATATATTGTTAAATGCATTGCTAAAGGCAAGTAATGACAACACTGTTACGTGATGTTTATACATACTAAGACCAATATCATCTATAATCTTGATTAAGACAGTAGTCGCACTATTACCGGTACGGAAACCGGATTGGAAAGAATTGAAAAGACTCCACCTAGATAAGTAGAGGCTCAATTGTCGCTAAACTACGTTCAAAAACTTTTAAAAATATGGGCTTCTTTCCTTTCCTTTCTCTTCTTTTGATCTCTTTAATAAGCCAGGGAGCAGGCAAATGCTGAAGCCGGACCGGACGACTTGGAGCATGAATTTTGTGTAGTTTTGTTAAAAGAGAAATAAAGCTATCGACCCTTTCATCGATATGAGCTCCAGACACTTGCTATGTGTGTGACACAAATTGAAACAGGATATTTACAGGTTTAAATATAATTAACGTACTTTTCATTTGTTTAAGAAGCAAGGGTAACAAACGGGTATCCAGTAATCCATCTGACGATAAATGGAAGCTGTGCCGCGCATACATTGTCGTTCTTCGGTTGAGCTGACCCATTTGCGTTATTTTATTATATGAATTGAGAAAGTTTAATAACATTCGTGACCAATAGCTCCCTATTATTCGCAAGTTGTCACCGGGATCGAATATCAGATAATAATTTTTCCATATTAATATAAATTCCGTAATTCTTGGAATAGCTGAAGAAATTATATATTAAATAAAGAAAATTTTTGTTGGTAACAGTTTTGCTTGTACTTCTTCTGCACAGTCTTGTGCCTCAACTGTGAGTTACGGAGCAAATTAGATTTCAAACATCACTTGCAGGCTGAAAATTTATTAGTATTATAGTAATTTGCAATGCCCTTTATGCAGGAAAATATTGATCGTGTCTGATCTTACCAATTCTGAGAATTGTATTATTAATTATACTTAATATATAATTAATACCGAAATAAAAAATAAAAATTGGTAAAAAAAATGTCTTTTAATACTTCTTGCTGAACTCAAGTGAATATTAATGTATTATATATAATATTATTATAGCAAATATGGACATTCACATTTATTCTCAAAATGCAAATGCGTTGTCGGCCTTGACTAGGACTAATATTAATTATAATAAGTAATATATATATATATATATATATATATATATATATATATATATATATATATATATCGACGCTGGAAAGGAAAAATTATCCAAGCGACATTTTTGGCCATATTGAGTTATAAACATTGTTGGAATCGCCTGTTTTTTCTGCGTCGTTTGGTCTTACTCACGTCCTTCTACGACGACTTTTGATGTCGCTTCGACATTATGGAATTCGCGAGGTTTCACTTTTTTTTCCTTTCTAACCGACAAAATTTTCGAGCATTTTTTGAAAATTTGGTGGTAGTCGTAATTGTGAAATGCTAAATTTGACTTTGGTCAAGTTTGACATTTCTGTTCGTACAGTAATTACTCCACTTAGTTAATTTTTCCAGTATCTGGCAATATAGTGTAAGGCGCATAGTATATTTTTTCCTCAGAAAGGATTTGTTCTTTTTATCACTTAGGTAATTTTGGCTGATTTGGTTTTTTTCGAACATGGCGTTTAGTTAAAATTGGCAGTTTTCTTTTTTTAATATTCAACTGGTTCAGCAAATATTACCTGCTTAAAAATACAACTGACTGTCGGTTAGTCAATTTTTCCCGGCCGTTTTCAAGTGTTATTTTATTATTTAGGCAACTTTTACTTGACCGTATACAATTATCCAATGTTGGTTATATCCTATGGTTGTGTCACGCACAGGCGCAAAGTTTATTTTTACCTAAAATAATTCACATAAAAAACGTCGGTTACACTTACTTATAACGCGTGAGCAGTCGCTTGAGCATGCAGTGAAGTTAGTTTCAAAGTAAAAAAGATACTTCAGTGCACGGCCGGTCGTCGCTTGGGAGACACGCGCACGCTGCAATTCCGTTGTCAACTGAGGTACCGCTTACGCTTATCTTATGACAAACACGAAACTGTAAGCTGAACTAACAAATAAATTCGTTTTTAATGCTGTTTTCGCGTTACTACATGGTGTACCTTTATTTCAGAACAATGGACCGAAGAAAACGTAGTCATAGTCTTTTGGAAAAGGCTCTTAAAGAATCGGGAATCTCTTTTAAAACCAAGGACGATTTACAGTCGGTATGTATGTAATTTTCTTTGCATCTCTCATTGTTGTTTCGTATTATTATTTATGTTATGTACTTACCTATATTAGATTTCTGTTTTGCTATCATACCTAGATAAGGGCTCCATTTAGCTTGTTAGGTACTCATTGATTGAAGGTCACGTCTCGTCACTGGCGCTATATAGCTATATGGCCAAAGTCGTGTGTTTAAAAGTAATATTGGTACTGCTGCTTTAAGGACCTACACAACTATCTTTCAATTGTTATTCTCTTATGTTTATAAAAAAGTGAGTGCTAGCTTGGAGGAAAGTAGGTAGGTGTATGTTTGGATAATTTGGTCAGAATTTATAAAAAATATGAAACTTTTACCATGTTTTAGGCCAGTAAAAAGTCTAAAGAAACTGACCCAGAGAAGCAGAAAGCACCTGGACGTAAAAGTCGGACTATCACTGAGGAAAAGAAACAGACGAATAAAAAAAAATATTGCAGACAACTAAAATTTGAAGAGTCTGTAAGTACCTACCGACGTATTTTATTATATTTTTAAATATAAGACATATCTTACTAATTTAATTATTGCGTACCTACTAACTGCTTTCGTGGTCTAGTGGTCTGAGCGTTGGTCTCGGGATCCGGAGGTCCCTGGTACGATTCTTGGGGGGGAACACACAAAGTTGATATTTTTCACTTTGTGAATTTGTTCCCAGTTTGATTAGGACATTGCAGGCTGAACCACCTGATTGTCCGTAAGAAAGATGGTTCCGTGTTTCGGAGGGCACGTTAAGCCGTCGGTCCCGGTTGCTGTCTATGTTCACTTAGACGGCGGCGGTCGTAACACAACCATGTCAGAGGCCTACTCGTAGTAGTAGGGAGTTTAAAAACTCTGACACCAGGGTTCATCGGGTCGTTCGTTGACTCGGTATCCCACACGACAAGAAGATAAACTAAATTATTTCTAATATTAATTTGGCTTCTTAGTGAAGTTTTCCTTTAGGGTATTCTACCTTAAGAAATTCCCTGGTTCCATTACTAGGGAGACTATATGGTATAAAATAATTTGCTGATGATTCTGTACTTTGCAGAGTACATTTTAGCTGACTTATTTCGACTAATGTCATTGAGAGTAATCAATCATCATCAATTAAATCTTTGGCCATATGGTCATGTCATGATTTTAGATAAAATAAATTAAATTCGTTTATTTCAGAATGAAACGCGTAAGTGCTCTTCAACTGCGCCTGTAATATCACGACGTATTACTGAAGATGAAGAGAACTATGACCCTGAGGAAGTTTTCGCAGCTCTTACAGATACCATGCAGCATATCCACAGTACGGACTTACTTTCGAATGACGATGCAGCATCAGGAGTTTCTCACAGTATGGACATATCTGCGATTAATGATACCGTTCGAGATAATTGGCAGGTTTATCTCGATCCTTCGCAGACTGGAACAACAAGTCCTCGCAGTATGGACTTACCTTTGAATGATGATTCAGCTCCAGGAGTCCCTCACAATATGGACTTACCTTCGATTGACGATTCAGCTCCAGGAGTCCCTCGCAGTGTGGACTTACCTTCGTATGATGATCCTGCTCCAGAAGTCCCTCGCAATATGGACTTACCTTCGATTGACGATCCAGCTCCAGGAGTCTCTCGCAGTGTGGACTTACCTTCGAATGATGATCCTGTTCCAGAAGTCCCTCGCAATATGGACTTACCTTCGATTGACGATCCAGCTCCAGGAGTCTCTCGCAGTGTGGACTTACCTTCGAACGATGATCCTGCTCCAGAAGTCCCTCGCAATATGGACTTACCTTCGATTGACGATCCAGCTCCAGGAGTCTCTCGCAGTGTGGACTTACCTTCGAATGATAATCCTGCTCCAGAAGTCCCTCGCAATATGGACTTTCCTTCGATTGACGATCCAGCTCCAGGAGTCTCTCGCAATAAGGAGTTACCTCCAAAGGATAAGGCTGCTCTAGGTGTAAGTACTCGTAAACGAAAAGCCAAAACAAGTATCCGAAATGTTGATTACATGTCTGATGAAGATTTTTCCACTTTATTCTGTCTTGGTGAAGAGAATGGCGCAGTTGATTCTGACAAATGGGTAGGATCTGACACGTCAAACAGTGACGAAGAAGAAGACCAGTCAAATAAGAAAAAAAGAGGAAAAAATAAGAAAAAGAAGCGGAAAGAGTCAAGTAAGAATAAAAACAGGGAATTGCTTGAAAATAATACTGAAGAAAATTTGGATGCAGAAAACGAGAACGTAGGAGAAAAAGGTTTAAAAAGAGTGAAGAAAAACACGAGAAAGGAAAGGGCTCTTTCGAAACAAACAGGAAAAGAATACGTAAGAAAAAATGGTCAATTAGTGCCAGAAAAATCAATTCAACCTAATCCATGTAAGGGTAAGAAATGTGGGAACAATTGTGAAAACGTAACCGAAGAAAAAAGGCAACAAGTATTTAAACATTTTTGGTCGCTTACCCCTGAACGCCGTAGAGACTGGTTGTTTGGCATGACTGACAAAGGAAACGTTAAACGTAAACGTAGTAGTTCAGAATTGCGCAGTTACACATATAAGTATTGCATTACTGATGGTGAAGGAAAAAGATCTGTATGCTTACAGTTTTTGGCAGCAACATTAGATATTTCACAAAAGTGTATATATTACACGGTAAAAAATGCTTCCTCGGGAAGTGCTAAAGAAGACTTGCGAGGAAAATGTGAACCACACAACAAAACCAAACCTAGTACTAAAGAGTCTGCCGTCAATTTCATCAAAAGCCTACCAGCCGTCCCCTCTCATTATTGCCGTCATGATTCTACCCGGGTTTACTTGCCGCAGGAATACAAAAATATTGCACACGTATACAGCGCTTACAAAGAACGCAACGTGAAAGCTGGCATAGACATAGTTAGTGAAAAGATTTTCCGAAAAATATTTAGCGAAGAATTTAATATATCATTTCATGTCCCTAAAAAAGACAAGTGCCTGAAATGTTTACAGTTGCAACAAGCAGATCTCAGCGACCCAAAAAAAAAGAAAGAAAGAAAAGGAAGATCATGAAACAGAGAAAGAAGAATGTTTTAATAGATTTTCTACTCATAAATCTATACACAAAACTGATCCTTCCACATTATGTGCAAGCTTCGACTTGGAGAAGTTGTTGAATACTCCACATCAATCAAGTCAATGCTGCTTTATTATTCAAGAAAAATAGCGGTATATAATCTATGTTTCTACGAAAACGGAACACGTAGAGTAACTTGCTATTATTGGGATGAAAGCAACGGGAAAAGGGGTGCAAATGAAATTGCAAGTATTCTCCACAGGTACATAAAATCTGTGGATGAAAGAGAAAATATAAAACACCTTCTTCTATAGAAGAAGGTGAAAGTAGAGGGCAACAGTCGCAGTATACTGCGACTGTTGCCCTGGGCAGAATAGAAATCGCACTGTCCTAGCCATGATACATTCTACTTTGCAGGAGTGTAATAATCTTCAGACGATACAAATTAATTATTTACTAACAGGACACACATATATGCCTGTTGACAGTGTACACGCCGTTATAGAGAACAACCTTAAAAAACTATAATTCATGCGTCTTCGCAATGGTACACTGTATTTGCTACGGCAAGAAAAGAACCTTTTCCGTATGAAGTTGAAGCAATGACTTTTGAAAGTTTTAATAGATGGGACGTCGTTGGTGATAAATACTTCAAAGGGAATTTGACTTGGAAAATTAGCAAAGTTCGTGTCGTGACTGTCAAGAAAAATAAGCCTTCCATGATTTCTATCAAAGACTCCATGAACGTTAATGCAAAATCGTATAATGTCGAAGTTCAATCCAAAACCAAAGGTCCACTGATGCCTTGCTACCGATCACGACTGCCAATCGCAGAGGCCAAATATAATGATCTCATGAAACTTTGTAAAGATAAAGTAATACCTGCTCCATTCCATCACGAATACTCCATTATCCCAAAGGCTACTAATGCAAAAGATACCTTGCCTGAATCAGATATAGAAGATGATGAATAATAATTACAACATACAGATTATTTCATGTTGTTTTTTTTAGAAGTTTATTTTTAGTTCGGTTTATTCAATGAGAGCTTTAAACGGGTTCCTATTATTTTAATTGTTACTTCATATTATAATGTAGATGATGACTGAAAATATTACTAGCTGTAAGTTGTTTTCGCACAGTACTTATACTCTGTCAATTATAGGATGGTTCCCTGGCGGCTGTTAGATTCATACTATAATTGATAAAGTATAGTTGATATGGCTACTGTTATTTTTAGAATTTGAATTAAGTTCGTTTTTTTTTATAAGTTTTCTTTTTTGTTACATATTGTTTTCTGAATGCCTATGAGGTAAATTTGTTGTGACTGAAATGTTACTAGTTTTGTAAACATATTCAAATTTTATATTCATTATAATAATATTAATAGGACTAAATACTTACATTTAAGATCTCAATGTTCCTAGAACACATAATAATTATTATTGTGATATACAAGTAGATTTATAATACCTAACTAATACTAATACTGTGTACCATAATGTTGCTTTGTTAAACTTAATAAAACTCAAGACAGTTTAAGTGCATTTTATTTATCCATTATTTTTTAGTAATTCTTTAATGAAAGATTAATCCAATTTTCTGTAAAAATGTCGTTTATGTCAAAATTACGGGAAAAGAAATATAAAATTAATATTTAGGTTGTTTTGCCTCAACTTCCACATGTTTTTTATATTGGTAAGGCAACTTTTACTCTGTTATAAATTAAAAAAAAAGATATATACTACATTTTTACCGTACCCTCCTTAATCAAAGCTTGTCGGTTAGTCAATTTTTCCCGTTTCTACTTTTAGGGAAAATCTTACTAAGCGACACTAACTTTAAAACTAAGCATTATTTTTAATAGTTACGTATACTATAATGTAGATAAAAAAATAAACAAATAAATTTCTAAGAATTGGGCTTTTTGGACCATTACAAAAATTTACACGATTTTTTTTTCAGAAAATTCAAACTTTAAACAGCTCTACTGTAAAGTTAGTCTGATGTCGCTTGGATAATTTTTCCTTTCCAGCGTCGATATATATATATATATATATATATATATATATATATATATATATATATATATATATATATATATATATTGTATATATATATATGTGTGTGTGTGTGTGTGTGTGTGTGTGTGAGCCTCGATTCCATTAAAAAGTCTCCGGTTCTCGACACTCGCCATACGAAATAAAACAGCATTATGCTGCTATTTATGATATTCAAAAATTTACAAAAATGTTACAGAAATAGGAAAATAAACTGAAAGTTGTGTAAACAGGTTATTGGTAATAGTTAATAGCCTGTACCACTATAATGATACACATAAACAAAAAACATATTAAGTAAAACATTGTTAAATCATATTGTTTCTTTTTAAACTAAGGTTCTGGTATTTGAAAAGGACGAAGAGAGAACGAAATGTGAAATATGGGTAAATCAGGAATGTCTAGAACAGGTAAATGAAATTGTATACTTGGGGAGTGCTTTCAGCCGGGATGGAAGATGTGATTTAGATGTGGATAGGCGTGTCGCTGCCGGAAACAAAGTCATTGGTGCCCTGAATGCATTAGTAAAAAGGCAAGGCGTGGTGAAGAGTGCACGCCTTGCAATACATAATGCAGTGTTGGTACCGACTTTGTTATATGGCAGCGAAACCTGGGTATGCCAAAAGAAGCATAAAAGCAAGTTGAATGCAGTGGAGATGTGATCTCTTCGTAAAATGTGTGGCGTTACCTTAGCCGACCGAAAGCGAAACGAAGAGATTCGCAATATGGCAGGATTGAAAGATGACCTTATCACAAAAATTGATAGGGGCGTACTCCAATGGTTTGGGCACGTTGAACGAATGAGTGAAGACCGAATGGTGAAGAAAATATATAGAGCGAAAGTAAATATTAAAAGGTGTCGAGGTAGACCGAGACTAACTTTCGAAGACCATGTGAGCAAATTGCTCGAAGAAGGGAGGGTCAAGAGTACTCGGATACCTAGACGTGCATGTATGAAGAAGTTAATGAACCTGAAAGAAGCGAAAGAGGTATGTAAGGATCGTGACACTTGGCGATCTGTTCTATCTGGCTACCCCGTTAGGGATTGTGCGTGAAGATAAGTAAGTAAGTAAGTAATATTGTTTCTTTCATAATTTCGTATTTCTATTTATTTACATTTAAAAATAAATCAAACGACAAAGTTTTGCGTTGACAGGAATGTCACAAAGTGTAATTTATTGCAATTGACCCATTTCTGAGAACGTGAGCCTAATGTACTACTCCCGTGGGAAATTAACTTTATCCATAATATGTTGTGTTCACCCTACCGCTTAATACACGTTTTCACCTATTATTATTTTTATTTAAATAGCCTATACACACTTTTGTTACACTAATTTTTGTGTAATAATATACAATTTAACCGGAAGATAAAACTATATGACCTTTTGTAATGTTGTACCATAGTAACTTTACTCCATTATTTCGGATTTTTTAATTTTAAATTACCGAATATTTTATTCATTATTCGTATTTACATATACACATTGCTTAATACTATATTATCCTTATTCACTACTTGATTATATAGATGGAACAAAATCATCAAATAACTTCATTGTATAAGAAATGTTTGTTTGCGAAAATTCATTATATTATTTCAATGATATTATTTAGTCTAATTAGCCTCAGGATGCCTCGTTATAAGGCGAACCAAGGTCGTATTATCGATGATATTGTATATTTCTAGTGTAATGATGTTGGGATTGGTGGTTTATTTGAATGGGATAAGGATGACAAACGAGCTCACAGTCCACCTGATGGTAAGTGGTAGTTGTGGCCCACTGGCATCTACATCTATCCTCGAATAAAAATTCGAATGCGTTGTCACCTTTAAGCACTAATATGGAATGCCTCGTTTCCAGTAAAATGGAATGTTCTCTACATCATCATACGAAACACAGCAGCGTTAAGCGGCTATGTTACGCTAGTATTCTATGAGAGCGTGGTCCTTCCCCGGTCGAACCGACCCATTTGTGTTACACCTTTACTACTAATATAGCTATATCATGGCTAATCAAAGCTATCACGTAAAAAAAGGTTATTACCACGTAAAAGAGGATATTAACAATTGTGGGAGGGCGGGAGTGTTCTTTAAACTAGGTAAGACACATCATTTTATTTTACTACAAGTATTGGGACCGTAGCTAATAAATTTTAACATATTTAGTAATGCTTGTCGTTATTGTTTTATGCCAAATTTTATTTCAATCATTTGTTGTATACTTATCCGATTTAAACGGCGTCAAGCTGTTGTTTCATAACTAAAACAAAAATTATATTATGAGGGAGGCGAGCTATTTGCTAGTAATGCATCAAATTGTTATATTTTCTATTACAAGTTGGAAATAGATACATTCCAATTAGAGCATTATGTATTAGAAAATACGAACCTTAAAAGTTTTCGTAATAATATTTTAATCGCTTATAAACTCAAAATTAATGCATATTATTGCGAGAATGATACCAAATAAAAATGAATTGGGACAGTTTGTCTTCGAAATTTTATTCCTAATAAAAGCGCGACATGTGTACTCCTAAACGAGCGCATATTTCATGGGTTCTGTTTCGGTAGTAAATAAACGAAAACTAACGCTTTGTCATAAATTTTCCACAGTCACATACCAGTACTTTTAAGCGTCGATAGGTACATAATATGATGATGATGAATTATTTTTGGAGGTTGGTTTTACTTTCATTTTAATGTTATTTATTTTCAACTCTTCAGTGGAATAAGAAATATCATTGATTTAATAAAACATAGAACAACAAAACTAGAATTTATTTTAAATCATCACATTAAAAACTTCATTCTCCATTTTTCCACCTTTATGTGTAAATTTTTTTTTCTTAAAAATGATTTAAAGGATAACCTCTGAAGTAATAAGAAGTCTTTTGCGAGTAACCTGTAAATATGATAGTTAAGAAAGCATCGT